ATGTACCGGGCGCTACAGTGGAATACGCACATACAGTGTACCCGCGACTCTTACAATGAAGGCTCGATAATCAGCTCACAGCATATAAAATGGCATATAGTTGTAAGCAGAGGTAAAGTGCTATTTTATAAGTAGGGGGGGGGTCCTCACCTCCTCTAGGGGCAGGGGCGGACTGGCCATTGGGAATACCGGGAGTTTTCCCAGTGAGCCGGTACCGAAAATTCACTGACAGGACAGAGCTCTCCCTCTCATTGTTTTAGAAACCGCTTCTAATATCCGTTAGCGCAGCTAGCTAACCAGATGCTAACAACAACAATGCAAATAGTGAGTTTGGTAGAAATATACTGTATAATAGTAAAGTTATTTAAGATGATGCCATAGTTATTGAAGATGTTACATTATAAATATTCCCTCCTAAGTATAGTATTCTCCTATACTTAGGAGACGTCATTTGTGTCTGAATAACGTTTTGTTCATGAGTTATTGATCTGTGAAATCAGAATCTCCCAATATCGTTCTAACTTTACTGAACTAAGCCAGAAGACCGTCTCATTTCGTAGACCGCTCGGTTTGCTGTTCCTTTACTTTATTTTTATATACATTTATTTTGGACGAAAAGTTAGCTTAAGGAAAGTGTGGTGTGAGTGCGTGAGATATGGGTTAATTGCGTGACTCTCATGCTCAATGCGTGAGTGTTGGCAGCCCTGGATAAACTACAATTTTATTGATCATGAAAATAATAAAAAATGTATCGAAAAAGAATCGGAATCGCAATTATTGACTTGGTATCGAAACCAAAATGTTGGTATTGTGACAACACTAGCAGGTTGTGCATTCGATCCCAGCCCCAGAGAAAACCTGTCTATGTATCCTTTGGCAAGATACTTAACTCTGAGTTTCTCCCGATGGCCAACGGTGTGTGAATTTGTATAATTGTTAGCTTCGCTAGAGCAAGTGGTACTGCTCTGCATGAAGAAGGTGTGAATGGGTGAATTACTTATTAAAGCATAATGTCTAGTTATAATGTTTGAAGCCTTTATATTGCTTTAATGGTAAACCTTACACGATTGTATTTTATGTAGACCTCCATCACATGTCTTTTGAGTGGTTGGCTCTATTTTGACTTCAGAGACTGAAATGATTCCCGGACACAGGGTGCGTTTCACTTCGGTTAAATGGATTCCTTGCGTCCCTCACTTGCGTCGTTTCCCTGCGACTAGTCCCTCCCACCAGGGAAGCATGGAGAGATGCAAGGAAACCACGAGAAGCAGGGAAATGAGTTTTAAGAGCAATGGGACGTCCTTTCCTTCGGAGCGTCACGTGAAGCGACGTCCGTTTGTGATGACTCCGCACAACTGATCGTCTGACAGCAGCTCTGTCCCTGTTATTTTCACACACACCCCCTTCTCTGTTAGTACACATTTACTGACACAAACATTTGTATCATCTGTTGTAGACCCAAATAAATAAAATAAAATAAGAACTCATTCTCAAAAAAGATAAACGCCATTCTTAAAATGTATAAACGGACAATAGTTTGATTAATATTGATTAGAGTGCACAATAGAAATAAAATAATTGAGAGAAGAAAAAGAGATATGTTATCTATCAAAACCCAGTTAGATTAACATTCATTGGATTGCACACTTTGTTTGTTTGTTTGGATATGTAGCACATTAACATTTTAATAGCACTTAATGACTGACTGAATGGAAATGAAAATAAATGAAAATGTAAAACGAAAAAAGCGATCATGAAAATGTTTCCAACAAATTAATAAAATGATTTTTGACCACTTTGTTGTTCAGATATATCACATATTTGTAACTAAATGATACATGAATTGAAACAAAACACAGTATAAACTGAGTGACTCCTGTGAGGTTCATGTATTTTCTTCACTCCGCTGGGAAACTGCTCTCATGTCAAGAAGCATGAGATCAGTGCATGCACTGCCTCGTCCAATCAGTGAGCGATACACAGTAAGGGGCCGGGCGAGTGTCTCTGTTATCGCTCCTCCATTATCACTCCTCGATCCTCGGTCCTCCGGCAAAAATAAGGCCACTGGGACGGTACTCAAGATGTCGCAGACAAATCAACTTCCGGTGAGACTGAGACCGAGGAGCGAGGAAATAAAAAATAACCGAAGTGAGACACACCCATAGTGTCTCAGATAAAGATGACACACAGGTCCATGTGGACTTTGAATGTCCTATGAGATGTGAATGCTACTTCAGGGTTTGTTTCCACACTGACAAGGACAACATTTTGTAATAACATAACATTATACTTTTATGTTTCTTTACAGGCAAGTACAAAAATAGTAAAAATAAACAAATAAGGTGACAGAGCATTTCATAATGTCCCAAACGTGCATTTTAAAATGTGAAGAGGAATCCTGTTCGTCCTGTTTTACAGAGGTCTATTTACTTCAGGGAACTAGATCCATCAGACATGAATACTGCAGAATGAAATCATCATTGCAGGACGAGTCACGACATGATATGCTTCATGGTGTTCCTTTGAGGGATAAAGGCAGGAATGTTTGCTCTGCAAAAAGCCAGGTGACAGCTGGTGTTTCCCACCTTACAAATAGCAGTTGAATCAGACTGGGCTAAAGGATGTTCATGTTTAAAAGGATTCATTTATCCCCCATTTTTTTTTTTTGTATACGCTCACTGTTAAAAAGGTTTCCCCTAAGAGAGCCAAGAAACGTTATTAAAACAATAATTAACTGACATTTTAGATTATAAAAAACGATCAGATAATTATTATCTTAAGCAAAGTATCTGTATTTATTCAACATAAATGAAAAGTCACACCTACTGCCATTCCCAACTTAATTACAGGTATATGTTATTAATAGAAATATTAGAAACATTTAGTTAAAACTTAGTGCTTTTATTATACCTGGGTTGTAGTGATACCAGAATTAAAAAATGTGTAAACATCGATGTTAACAGAAGTTGCTCAATTTGGTGTAAATCTGATTCTGCAGCAGTGAGGATGTATGAGATGGATTTAAGGGAAATAGCTAAATAGCTAAGTAAGCAAAACAGGGACCTGTTCCTGGTCCTGTTGAGCAAAGCATTCACACACTTATGCTTCCATGAACAGACAGACATGTCCATTGAAATCATGCGAGTCGTGTCACCTTGGCCTCTGAGAAATTCCATTTGGTCGTCACTTTATTTGGTACACCAGTGTAATCTTTAAATTATACCCTTTCTTTTTGTTGACATGGTTGGACATGTATTAATTCCCCTTTATGTTTATTACGGACTTAATATTTAAGGGTGCTGTTATACTACATTACATTTTATGAAGAGGTTTTTCCTAATTCCACTTCCACTTCATTACTACTTGTGTATATATATAGGGGTGCACATAACTCTTTTATTGAGTTACTCAGATGAGTACCAGGAGACAGCGTTTGGTACTCACCCCACACAAAGCGTAGTGTTAATAAGGGCAGTCTTCCTCACTGTCCTCCTCAGTGTCTCCTTCACTGTCCTCTAGTTCCTCTTCTTGCATGGTAGATTATGAAGATGCTGCAGATGCACCTCCCTGTCCCTGTTTAAGCCTCCCATTTGCTTTCTCCAAAACTTGTTGCCAAACATGTGAAGTCCTTGCATTTCCTGAGGCCAAGTTGAAGGATCAAATAATAAGAAATGATCACATGACTTGAAGTCATATCTGATTTCAGATCTGGGAAGTAACTAATAACACTTATTCAAGTACTGTACGTAAGTAACATTTTGAGATACTTGTACTTTACTTGAGTATTTCTATGTTATGCTACTGTGTACTTCTACTCCACTACAATTCAGAGGGAAATGGTGTACTTTCACTCCACTGCATTTATTTAATACCTTTAGTTACTTTACAGATTTGGCTTAATGATGTGAAATATAATCAAGTGTTGAATCAGACTTTAGTTCCACCTGGAGTAAATCCACCAGCTACCCTGCAGTATACAAAGTCATTCAAACTAGCTGCACCTTTACCAGCTTTGAGAACACTTTCATGATCAATCATTATAAAACATATCATATATATTATTCTGAAATGGACCAATCTGCACAATGACTACTTTTACTGTCGCTACTTTCACTATATTTTGATGAGAATACTTTTCTACTTTCACTTGAGGAACATTTTGAATGCAGGACTTTACTGTAACAGAGTATTCCTACACTCTGGTACTTCTACTTTTACTCAAGTACAAGATCTGAGTACTTCTTCCACCTCTGATTTCAAACTCTTCCATTAACACACTGAGTACGTTTACAACTGTGTTTTACTCCACCTTGTTGTAAATAAAACTGCAGCAGCTTGACCACAGAGAGTGAACGTTGTGATCAGCTGATTTCTCGCAGTTCTTCAGTGTGTGCGAGGGGCACAGAATGTGCACAGAGGAGTCTCCCTCCGCAGCCAGTTGATGTAGTTATGGTACAATTCCGTTGTACATACTGACGTTAACAGCAGCCCCGTCTGTGCACACGGCGACCAACTTAGTCGTCCAGTGATCTAAGCCCGCGTCCTGGAAAAGCTTCTCAAGTCCGTCGGTTATGGCCTGCGCGGCTCCCAGTTCAATCAGTCATAGAAAGTCAGATTATTTTTTGCAGGTAGCGAAACCCAACGTAGCTGCTTCATGTCTTTTGGACATGTCTAGTAGTTTACTCCATTGAGTGTTGACAAGAAACAAGGGTAGGCGAAATATGTGTTTTTGTTTTGATGACCTATCGGGTACGCAAAGGCGCGTAGTAACACAAGTAACGTTACACAATTCAGAATGTTGTCCCCCATGCGTACCTACGTACCAGTTATGTGCACCCCTGTGTATACACACCTCTAATGAAGTCCAGTAACAACCACCAACCCCAAGTACATTACATTATAACATTTAAGACTTCAATGGCAGTTTCATATGTAATGTAATGTAATATGTCCTGTGTTGTTCATGTAAATATCTATTCACAAAGCTGATCTCTCCTCAGGTCCAGTAAGGAGGGTTCAGTTCATTTCCAGAGGCCCCATCATCAGCACAGTCCCACCTCCTCTGTCACCTCTGTGGGATCCTTGTCCCGTACTCAGTCCTCCACCCTTACCAGCATGCTCAGTGCCTCCCACTCATCCCATCCGTCCTTCCCTTACCAGCACCCCCAGAGCCAGGGAGAGCCCTTCCCTAGCCCTGGGCCCCGCAGTCCACAGGGTCCGAGCTCCCACCAAGCAGGTGAGCCCTTTACCATGGGTTCCATTCATCAAACACCAAGAAGTCATGGTTTCCCTCATGACCCGTACGGCTCCACTCCCAGGATGTACCATCAGCAGCAGCAGCAGCAGCAGCAGCAGCAGCAGCAGCAGCAGCAGTTCCAAGGACCTCCACCTCCTCACCTCCAGCTGCCAGTCCAGACCGCACATTTCCCCCAACCACAATCCTACTCTCAACTGCAGGGGGAGCCTTTTGCTATGATGGTGCGAGCCCACCAGATGGTGGATGTGCTTACGGAGGACAACAGAATGCTGAGGCAGGAGATGGAGTCCTGCCGTGAGAAAGTGACAAAGTTGCACAAGGTAACAACAACACTGCTGTTATGAGTTGTGTTGTTTAGAATAGAGTGCGAGAAAAGGAGTGAAAAAAGTTCTATTGTTTTGAGTTAAACTAGTTTTTTTTTGTATTGTGATCGTTCTTTTGAGACTATTGGTCGAAATATGTTTGAATATGAATTATGAATATTGAAGATCTCACCGTTGACGAAGCTCAGGCTGTAGACCCCAAATATGTAGATAGTGACCTTGCAAATATTCAGAAGATAAATATATAATATAACATTTGGATGAAGTTTAACCCAGCACCTTTGCGCTCCCTTTCTTTCCTCTTTTTTCTAATCATTCATCTTGTACCTGTGGGCAGTTGGAAACGGAGATCCAGCTGGTGTCAGAGGCATATGAAAACCTTGCTAAGTCTTCCTCAAAGAGGGAGGCCCTGGAAAAAACCATGAGGAACAAGCTGGAGCTGGAGGTCCGGCGGCTGCACGACTTCAACAGGGACCTCCGAGGTGAGAGAGCAGAGAGGGGGGTAACAATGCAATAACCGTCCTGCTGAAACTGATTGCAAATTCAACATAAAACTACAATGGTCAAACTATTTTCAGCTATGTTTATTTTGCAGGAATTGAAAAAAGTATTGTGAAGAGAGGTTCAAAGTGACACTACATCATTATATATGTCTGCTGTAGTGAAAGATATGAAGTATGTCAATTGTGCACTGCATTGTTATAAATATATTTATTCAAAACATACTGTTGTTCTTGTTGGCTGAAACGTTTCATTTCATTTCAAACATACAACGTACACGCAGGTGCTATTTTTACTTTTAAGAAAAACTCAAGATCCCATTCCTTTCTGTATCAGTGTCATGACAGATGAGTCCTACAGTAGTGCTACGTGTAGGGCCGACTGATTCACAGACTGACAGTGTGTTTTAGTAGCTGAAACTACACAGCAAACACACATATTTATTTGGTCTGTTTCCCTTCTTTGTTCTTGCTCTTTAGCTTAGATCCGTGTGGGATGTCAACTTTTACGACTGACTGGGTTGAAGTTTAATATAAACTCACTGAAGCTTTTGTTTTAGAGAGTGTAAAATAAAGATAAAGGGTTCTCACAACAGGAGTTGAGAAGATGTATTAAGCAAACATGTGTTCATGTGCACTTTTACTACAGCCGTCACACCTTCCACGAATTGTCTAGAATCAATCTTACCAACATTTATGTATTTCACAAAGAAATCTCCAAATGGCATGTCTATGATGTCGAGGTGTATGTGAGTCACTTTGGATAAAGAGTCTGCTAAATAACGTGTAAAAAAAAATGCCTCAGCTCTAATCGAACACATAGTTCAATAGCATGTATTATTACGCTTGTACTCACATTAACAGGCCTATCGGGGGCAGTTACAATGTTTAGAAGTCACTGTGAACTCATACAGAGGTGCAATATGCAAAAAAATATAAATGTTTGAGTTGTTTTCCGAACTCTGAGCCTGTGTGTGCGTGTTTTGTGTTAAAGAGCGCATGGAGACGGCCAATAAGCAGCTTGCTGCTAAAGAGTGCGATGGCTCAGAGGACAACCGCAAAACCATATCCCAACTGCTTGCACAGAGTGAGTAACACACACACACGCACACACACACACACCCTCACACCCTAACATCCATCTGATTTGCATAACAATAACCTCTTTTTTTTATGAGGAAAGACATTGTATTGCACCTGTGTTCAAGATAAGGAGACGCTCCATGAGAAGGAGAAGCTGGAGATGGAGTTGAACGCATTGCGCTCCACCACGGACGACCAAAGGAGACACATTGAGATCAGAGACCAGGCGCTCAACAACGCACAGGCCAAAGTGGTCAAGCTGGAGGAGGAGGTAAGAGCATAACATGTCACTTTTACTGGAAATAATCCTGTTGGTTGGATTAATGCTTGTTGCCATTTAAATTGAATCAGGAAATCCTAATTCAGACATAGAAACTCAGTTCCAACGGTGGTGGGACAACCAAGCAGGGACCACCTTCATTAAATGTATTAGACTGAGTCTGTTCATAAAAAAATCCCTATTTCAATTCCCATCATGATGTTTTCATGACTACAGGTAATAGAACATCACAGTAGCATTGACATCTCATGCCAGACATAACTCATTGATTATATCTAAAGATGAACAATGAAAACTAAAATTTCTGATGTGAAACCAAAAGTTGTGTTTATTTTATTGGAGGTGTAGAGGCTAAGCCAACACTTAAAGCCACTGAGGAACTGCTATCTTATCGTAATTGACGCAGTTAAAGTTGCCAGGTTAATAAAAGCCTGGCACAATGTTTCTAGTTGTCCACTGAGTCCATTTATTTTCTCATTGTGCTGTACATTAAACGTGCATCGCATTTCTGTCCCCATACAAAATTAACACTTAACACAATAACTTAAGCAGTAAACTTTACCTCAGCTTGTGTTTTCTCTGACTTAAAGGGGACCTATCATGCAAAATGCACTTTTTTATGTCTTTTATACATAAATATGTGTCCCCGGTGTGTCGGGGAACTCACAAAGTTTCAGAAAATAAAACCCTCTCTCTTTTCCTCCGTGTGCAAATCTCTAAGACGGGGGTACAACGGAGCTGATACAGATTTGCCCCATGGCCCTATCAGAAACAATGCCCGACGTGTTTGGGACGTAATATAGTCTTTGTTTACATTAGCAAGCATCGCTAACACTCAGAGCTTATGGAATGCCGTTTAAGCCAAAATAAATAAATACATAAATAATTAAATAAATACATATATAAATGAATATGCCTATGAAATAAATTCTGAAATAAATAAGGCGATAAATATATATAAATGTACATTTAAATACACATTTATTTATTTCATGGTACTTTTATTTTATAATGCCACATTTATTTATTTAGACTGTTATTTCATAATCCCACATTTATTTATTTCATGGTACTTTTATTTCATAATGCCACATTTATTTATTTGGACTGTTATTTCATAATCCCACATTTATTTATTTCAAGAGACTTTTATTTAATAATGCCACATTTATTTATTTCATAATGCCACATTACATTTCCATTTCTTATATTCAAATTAACGGGCGTGGTTAGCTCACAGATCCAGCCCAAAGCAACAGCACCACAAAACTGACTTGTTTCACACTTCAGTACTCTTAAGTGGTTTGCCAACTGCCAATAAACACTATGCTACTTTTCCACCAAACCGGTTCCGGTTCAAGAACCGTTCTTGTACTTTTCTGGTGCTTAACTGGTTCCGGGCTAGAGCCTGATTTAGCTCCGATTCTTCCTGTTTCAGCCGCAGCCTCTAAGCCTTCACCGACAACCGGTTCTTAGCTGACCCCACTCAGCTGACGGCAAGAACCAAGAACCACGCTCACGTCGGAGGGAGGCGAGATTAACCTGAGCAATAACAGTTCATGGCTAGTACGGCAAATACAAGTTTTAACAAGTAGTAGCGCTGAGCAAAATGACCAGAACGCAACCACACACTTTATAAAACGACGCTGAAGTTGGCTTCCGATTCAGAGCTTCCGATTCGGCAGTAAAGGGGAAAGTTAAGGGACATTTCATTTACAGCGCTGAGCGAACAATCCTCAGTTTTTATACCTCTTAAATCGCTGCACAGTTTTAGATTTGTGAAACCTTTATTCTATTTGTGAAAATACAAAAAAGGGAGATTTCGCTGTTTTTTTCGCATCTAGACCACATTAGACCAGGTCCTGATCTAAAACCACTATACCTCCACTCATCAAATCTAGACTAGACTATCCCAGAGAGTCGAAACATTCTTTATAACAGTTTTAGATTTGTGAAACCTTAATTGTACTTGTGAAAATGCAAATAAGGGAAATTAGGTTTTTCAACATTTGTATTGAGAAAGTCAGTGCAGAAGTCCACGTCTCTCCATTTCATTTTTTCGTCTGCATTATCATGTCTTCTTTTTCACTTCATAACAAAAGTAGAAAAACAATTATGGTTAACATGGTAACGCACTCTTGAAATTGTGTTTTCAAAAGAAAATTACTGTTTTTCTTTCACTTCTCTTCTAACTGGGAGGCTGTGGCTGGATAGTGTGCTGGACTTCGAATCAGGGGGTAGCAAGTTCGAGTCCCACTGCAGTCAGCATGTCGTTGTGTCCCTGGGCCAGACACTTCACCCCAAATTGCTCCTGTGGGGATTGTCCACAGTACTGAATGTATTTAAGTCGCTTTGGATAAAAGCGTCTAACAAATGACATGTAATGTAATGTAATAACTGGCCACACTTGATCTCTCCTAGTGCTTCTGCCAGTTGCTATCTTTGCAGTCCCCTGACCTCCCAACTGCCTGCAGACATGATCCTCATTACCCCTAATAAATTACCCCTAGTATAAACTCTATCCATAGAGTTTATACTAGGGGTAATTTATTAGGGGTAATAAACTTTACTCTATCCATAGAGTTTATACTGTAGACGTGAAAAGATGCGAAAAAGCAGCGAAATCTCCTGAGTTGCTCCTGACTGGGTTGCTGTGCATGAGACAAATAATTGACCGAAAGCTTTCCCCTACCATTGTCTTGGAGGGGCGCGGAGCCCCGCCAACGGAGCCCCGCCAACGGAGCCCCGCGCCCCCCCTGAAATGCAAGGTGTTTTTAAAAAAAAATATCCATCCATCCATCTTCTCCCGCTTATCCGTGGTCGGGTCGCGGGGGTAGCAGTTCCAGCAGAGAGCCCCAAACTTTCTTTTCCCTGGCGACATCAACCAGCTCTGACTGGGGGATCCCAAGGCGCTCCCAGGCCAGCGAAGAGATATAATCCCTCCACCTGGTCCTAGGTCTACCCCTTGGTCTTTTTCTCTAAAAAAAATATATAGCACCAAATTGCAACTAATCTATATCTACTGTCACTTTTCACATTGAACATGTGCTCTTTTATTAAATAAACTAAAGGCTGACATTTTAAGTTGTGAGTAGGGATGCTCCGATCGCCAATTTTGGGGCCGATCGCCGGAATCAGTATCGGCCGATCGCCGATCCGATCGAGTGTTTGTTCCAGAGGTAGATAAAATAGCTAAGTGTGTTAGGTCTAACTATTGTGTGTTTCGCTCCGCTCACCGGTCCGGCGGGCGGAGCTGCTTCACACACACGTTGCATACCGCTATTTTACGGTCTTTTTCGGACACCTTAAAATAATGCAAGACCGGTGAAGCCATTTTGGCGAGCTTGTTTTGCAGCGCACAGAGAAAAGTGTCATGTATTTTATGTCATGCGATCGGCTCTCGCGATCGGCATGTTTAGAGAGCACCAATCGATCGGTAGAGAGTGAGTATCGGCCAATCTCGATCGGTGACCTATCGATCGGAGCATCCCTAGTTGTGAGTTTAGTGTTTTTGACCCCAAGAAACACTGATGCATTAATCGATAACAATAATCCACAGCTCCTCTCTCTGCTCCAGAGGATTTAAAAAATATATATCCCTGGATTATGGTTCTTCTAACACAGGCCAGAATAACAGCTCTGGATAAAGTCGGAGGTATGCAACTGGCAGAAGCACTAAGAGATCGAGTGTGGCCAGTTAGAAGAAAAGTGAAAGAAAAACAGTCCTTTTCTTTTGAAACAAGAATGTCAAGACATTACCATGTTAACCATTTTTTTTTTTCTACTTTTGTTTTGAAGTGAAAAAGAAAGTCAGGCAACACTAACCAGGCTTTAGTGTCATTCTCTTTATTTTTACCTTACTTTGACCATCCATTCGCTGTTATCATAGACTATATATATAAATGGACGTAGGGTCCGTGACGTCACCCATAGGATTCTGCAGAGTTGCCGAGAAGCCCTTAGTAGGCGGAGTCGGCCACTAACGGCTCGACAGTGACGTCAGAGTTCAACTCCCGCCTGCTCCAGTCTGCTCCAAATAAGGGCAAAGAGGCGGAGGCGGGACCTGCTGCCACCGAGCTGGAAGTTCCACAGCTAGCTGAAGCTACCAAGCTAAGCTAACATGCTCCCCATCTGCACACTGCTGTGGCATTTTACGTTTCTAAGGTAAGCGGACATGAAACTATTCAGCAAAACTATAAATAATAATCTAAGTTATTGAGTTTTTAGCATAATACTTCAGAATCTTAAAACCCCTTAACGTTTGTATAAAATTGTGCTAAATTCAACACTGGATTCAAGCAAATATTAATATGTTTGCATGACATTAGTTATTTATATTTTGATATCACTTAATTACACGTTTAATACATTTAAGTCAAGCTAAGGTACATGTGATGGTAGCTAGTTAGTGCTCTTACCTGTGAGGCCTCCTCAAAACAGCATAATAACCAGACTGTATCATTAAAACTAAGTACCAGTTCTAGATCCTTGACTTTAGACAAACAATTCAAGAGACAAAATGTATTTAAAGACCAATCTTTATTTGAATGTGCCTCTTAACCTGAGATATTAGTTATACAGTAATAGTATTGACAATCTAAAAAAACTGAGCAACTCAACAGTCAACTTTATATTTCTTATTGTCTAAAGCATTTATTATTTTCATTTTCCCCTCTCATATTCAGTGTGGACGGATTGAGACAGCGTGGTGTCCAGAGAGCTACAGAGACTTCAGGGAGAAACCTCCATGTGATGGACGTCCTGTCTGTTGGTTTGGAGAGGACTGAGGGTGTTTCCTCAGCGAGGAGGACCAGGCCTGATGGAGGAGCCCATGCTGGGCAAAGCTGATACCAACTGCACAGGCCTCGTCTGTCACTTTATTTGACTAAATGTGTTCACTTATACATTTAATAGGTTTACACCTTCTGTCCATATGTGCTTTTTATTTACAACATTTGATGAAGTTTTGGTTCACATTTCAATAAATTGTA